GCGTTTTCGCGCCCTCCCCTTGCTTAGGGGCACCACTGTACAAATATCCTCACACAGGTGGTGTTAACGAGGGTCCAGCCCCATGGGACCGCGTGGTCCACTTGCCAATCTGCTGCGGACACAGATGGTGTGATTCTATGAATGGCACTGCAGCCCATGATCTGCTCGCTACTCCTGGCAGGAGGCAAGAGTTCAAACCTTGCTGCAAGGTCGAAGAGTGGCAAGTGGATCATGCGCTGCGGTGCCACTCGTAGAATCGCGCCGTCTGCATCCGCAGTGGATCAGTGAGTTGACTGCTGGACCCTCATTAATGCCACCTGTATGATGATATTTGTATTCATATATGAATACCCCATCTCTAATTATAGTACTTAGTGTATAGATAAATTGTGCTAACAATTCATCTGCTATTCAGCAGCACTTGTATATTGCCCAGATAGGGAATGACTTTAATCATATCAAATCCTGCTCACTTTTTACTACCATGGGCTGAGTGATTTAATGCTGAGCTTCCCAAAATACAACATGCATATGCCAAGAGAGGCAATATTCTTAGCAGCTATTTTTTCTCCAAGTCCAGCTTTTTCTACATAGCTGAGCTGCAAAAATTATTATGGTGGCTTTGATGTCCTTGAATTTAGCAGGGACATTGACAAGTCTTTGTTTCTGAGTCTTTGGTACCAAGTCCCAAACCTCAAGTCCGTCCCTATTAAAAGCAAGCTTTCCTCCTCCCCCCAAAAAAAGACAGGGTGGGTGGTTTCAGTCATGAGTTGAATCCAAATCATTGAAATGAAACCCCGAGTGCATCCTAAGTCCAGCCTGACAGTGAATCCCACTACTTGAGTCCCCATCTCTGGAGTTTAGTTGTAGCAGGAATGCCTTTCTTCAACCAGATGGAAAGAACATAATTTCTGAATCCATGGATATTCTACAACAGGTATTTGCTATATTAAGTAGGTTCTTCTGTGTTTTCAGATTCTCCTGGCATCCTCCAGTTTGAAGTCTGCCCTTTGTCGGACTCCTGCTTCAGTGTGTCTTTTCAGCATCCTGTGAACGACTCCTTGGTTTGTGGTGAGTTTTTGGAGTAGTGTGGTGTCAGATAAAATGTAAGTATATAAACTGTAATTGGATGAAGGTAACCATTTCTAAGTTTATGACTGTCTTTGTGAAACTTTTTCTTTCAGTGGTAATGGATGTGCAAGATTCTACGCATGTGAATTGCAAATTATATAAAGGCCTCTCCGATGCACTCATCTGCACAGATGACTTCATTGCTAAAGTTGTCCAAAGGTATGTCATGCTTCTTAAGGAAAACAAAAACTCATTTTTTGAGACTGTGGTATATGCATAAGCACATTTAGAAGTGTACTTAAGTGGAAATTTATAAGAGTGGATTTGCTTTTTTGCCATTTGTGTTCTTATTTTCTTATTTCTTACATTCTGCTTTTATGGAACTAATAGTGACACCAGAACATCTCAGTAATAAGAACCTGTGTCTCACTAGAGGTGAGGAAGTCTGCCCTGACTTCCTCCTGTAGCAATGAAATCCTGAGTTTGTTTTGCCTGATTGCTTCAAAGGTTCAAAACCAGAAACCTGACATTTGATACTGTAGTGACATTGCCAGGCAGGATCAATCCAAAGCTGTTTTCATTTCTGAATTCATACTGTCATTTCTAACTAGTAATCTCCATGATGATCTGTGGTCTTGTATTAAAAACATCAATTTATTCGCCCCCCGGCTTCTCATGCTCTATACATGGACCTGAAAATAGGTTGGGTTTTCACACACTGGAAAGTGGCATACTGCCTGCCAGTTCTCATTCTGCTGTCTTGCTCTTACAGGAGGTGTCCCTTATTTTTTACAGCTGAGAAGTCAGCTGTTTGGAAACCACTAATTTATCTTGGGTTTGCTGTTGCACATCAAAGTTGGGAAAGCCCTGCCCTTTTTTAAACCATTAATGCTATTTTCTACCCTCCAACAGCAGAAGTCTGGCCATTTTCATATACTTTGTGGGGGATTTTCTTTCGAAGTTTCATTTCTGTGTAGAAAACAGTGTGGAAAATATATGCAGCCTTATGTGAACAATGCATGCATTTTATATTTCACTATTTGTATTTGGCTGTGGCTGGCCAATTCCTGTCTGCACAATGAAGTAGACGTGTTTTGCACTGATGGTGATACATGAACGTTGTGCATGCTTTTACCTACATGAAATGATAAAATGAGGGAAATATATCATTTGTAACGTAGAACTGAAATGGGTCTTAAATGTTTCCTGCCTTATGTGCCTTCTCAGTTCTCAGAGAAGTGGCATAAGAAAAAGGAATAGATATATTCTATAGATATTTTGTAAATATTTGTTCTGAGCTTAGAATCTGATGAGAAAAAATTGTCCTCATGTAGATAAAACAAGAAGTATTTCAATCTGTATATTCTGTACTTTCTCCTGTAACTTTAAGTTAGTCTTTCAGTTTAAAATCTTCAAAAAGGTTGTGGTACATTTTATTAAGTCTCTTAGCCCAGGTTCATTTAACTTACTTCAACAAATGCTTAATATGCTTTAATTTTATTCTGTTCCTTGGATGAGAAACGGAGTATGTAGGAGTAGATACTTAGAAAATAATAGTACAATAGGGTATCATTCTGTTTCTCAGGATGCAAGTGCCCTATGTTAAGAACAATAAATGCTTTTTAAAAATTCATTTAAAATGTTTACATGGTACCCTTCATCCTTTTGTCTAGAAAGAATAGGACTACGTATTCCTGTACATAGTAGCTAACTTCTGTGGGAGATACAAAAATAAGGCTATATAATTGTGGAGAACTCTGCACTGTGTACTGTACATTTTTTATGATGTATACAACTTTGAATATGTATGGGGAAATTACTGCAGGCAAGTTGGTACTAAACAGGTCTTCTTATACATTGTGTCTTTTAGATGCATGTCAATTCCTGTGACCATGAGAGCTATCCGGAGAAAAGCTGAGACCATCCAAGCAGACACACCAGCCCTGTCACTTATTGCTGAGACAGTTGAAGATATGGTGAAAAAGAACCTGCCTCCAGCCAGCAGCCCAGGTTATGGCATGACCACCGGAAACAACCCAATGAGTGGCACCACCACCCCAACCAGCACATTCCCTGGCGGTCCTATCTCCACCTTGTTCACAATGAGTATGGGCATAAAAGAGCGTCATGATTCTGTGAACCATGGGGAAGACTTCAGCAAAGTGTCACAGAACCCCATTCTTACAAGCTTGCTACAAATCACAGGCAACGTAGGCTCCACCATCGGGTCCAGTCCCACTCCTCCACACCACACACCACCTCCTGTGTCATCTCCTGCAAGCAACACCAAGAACCACCCGATGCTCATGAACCTCTTGAAGGACAATCCAGCTCAAGACTTCTCAACTCTCTATGGGAGCAGTCCTCTAGAGAGACAGAATTCTTCTTCTGGCTCTCCAAGGATGGAAATGGGGCCAAGTGGGAACAAACAGAAGAAGAAAAAATCACGTGTCCTTGTGGACAAACCCAAACATCAGACTGAAGATGATTTCCAGAGAGAACTGTTTTCCATGGACGTTGATTCCCAGAATCCCATCTTTGATGTTAATATGACAACTGACACTTTAGATACTCCCCATATTACTCCAGCACCCAGTCAGTGCAGCACTCCACCAACAGCCTATCCACAGTCTATGCCTCATGTCCAGCCCAGTATTCAGAGGATTGTCCGGCTCTCCAGTTCAGACAGTATTGGTGCTGATGTCACAGATATCCTCTCTGACATTGCAGAAGAAGCATCCAAGCTGCCAAGCACGAGTGAAGATTGCCCTCCTATTGGGACACCAGTAAGAGACTCATCCAGTTCAGGACATTCCCAAAGCGCCCTGTTTGATCCTGATGTCTTTCAGTCAAACACCAGTGACAACCCATACACTGATCCAGCTGATCTGATTGCTGACGCCACTGTGAGCCCAAATAGTGACTCTTCTAATCAGTTTTTCCCTGATGGCGTTGATTTCAACCCTGATCTCCTGAACAGCCAGAGCCAAAGTGGTTTTGGAGAAGAATATTTTGATGATAGCAGCCAGAGCGGAGACGCTGACGACTTCAAGGGCTTTGCACCACAAACGATAAGTACTCTGGGCGTGCAAGTGCTGGGGGGAGATGGAGGGGAGAGTAAGTTCAAGGCATGTAGCCAAACGGACACAGTCGACTTTAGTATTATCACTGCTGCCAGCAAAGCTCTGGGAGCCTCTGATGTTATGGAGCATCATAGTGGAAGCCAGAGCCCTTTACTGAGCACAGGAGATTTGGGGAAGGAAAAATCACAGAAGCGGGTCAAAGAGGGGAATGGATCTGGGAGTTCTTTAACGGGCCCTGGGCTGGATGGCAAGGGTGGAAAACGCAGCCGCACCCCATCCAGTGATGGGAAGAGTAAAGAAAAGGTCCAGAAGCGGAGGAAGGTGGAGCCAGAAGGCAAATCTCCCTCTCATAGTTCATCCACCAGACCTTTCACCCCACCAGCAAGCACAGGTGGCTCAAAATCTCCTGGAAGTTCAGGCAGGTCTCAGACACCCCCTGGGGTAGCCACTCCTCCCATCCCTAAAATCACCATCCAAATTCCCAAGGGAACAGTGACTGTTGGCAAACCCTCCCATGGGCAGTACACAAGCAGTGGCTCAGTCTCCTCTTTGAGCAGCAAAAGTCATCATAGTCATTCCTCCTCCTCCTCTTCCTCCTCCTCATCGTCATCCTCGTCTTCGTCGTCTTCCTCATCGACCTCCGGCAAAATAAAGAGCAGCAAGTCGGATGGGTCTTCTGGGTCCAAGATGAGCAGCAGCCTCTACTCGGGCCAAGGCGGCTCTGGATCAGGTCAGTCCAAAAGCTCCACCCAATCAGTGGGCAAGCCTGGGTCCTCCCCCATCACAAAACACGGCCTGAGCAGCGGCTCTGGAGGTACCAAGATCAAACCTCAAGGGAAGCCTTCATCGCTTATGAACCCTTCCATGAGTAAACCAAACATTTCTCCTTCTCATTCTAGACCCTCGGGCGGTTCTGACAAGCTGGCCTCTCCGATGAAACCCGTTCCAGGTACTCCCCCGTCGTCTAAAGCAAAGTCCCCTATTAGTTCCGGTTCCGGAGGCTCGCACATGTCTGGGACAGGATCAAGCTCAAGCATGAAGTCCTCTTCAGGGATGGGATACTCCGGTTCTATGTCCCAGAAGCCACCCCCTTCTTCAACTTCTTCAACTGGATCTTCATCTTCCTTTTCATCTGGCAGCTCTTCCATGTCATCTTCTCAGAATCAGCATGGGTGTTCTAAAGGCAAGTCCCCAAGCCGGAACAAAAAGCCATCTTTGACTGCTGTCATTGACAAACTCAAGCATGGTGTTGTCACTAGTGGCCCTGGTGGGGAAGACTCAATGGATGGACAGATGGTTCAAACTTCTAGTTCTTCAAGTCACTCCATGTCCTCAAAACACAGCTTGTCTGGAAGTGAATTACAGGGGAAGCGGGACAGAAGTGACAAGGAGAAGTCCAAAGTCTCTGTTTCAGGAGGTTCTTCTGAATCTTCTAAAAAGACATCTGATTCAAAGAATGTTGGAAGCACTGGAGTAGCCAAGATCATCATCAGCAAACATGATGGTGGCTCTCCTAGCATTAAAGCCAAAGTTACTTTGCAGAAACCTGGGGAAGGAGGTGGGGATGGCTTGAGATCTCAGATGACCTCTTCTAAAAGCTATGGGTCACCACTGATAAGTGGGTCTACTCCAAAGCATGAGCGCTGTTCACCAAGCCACAGTAAGTCTCCGGCATATACCCCACAAAACATTGACAGTGAGAGTGAATCAGGATCATCCATAGCAGAGAAATCCTATCAGAACAGCCCCAGCTCTGATGATGGAATTAGACCTCTTCCAGAATACAGCTCAGAAAAGCATAAGAAGCACAAAAAGGACAAGAAAAAAGTGAAAGATCGGGACAGAGACAGGGATCGTGACAAAGAAAGGGAGAAAAAGAAAACTCACAGCATTAAGCCGGAAAGCTGGTCTAAATCTCCCATCTCTTCTGAACAGTCTCTGTCTATGACAAGCAGTGCTATCCTTACATCAGACAGGCCCTCCAGGCCTAGTCCTGATTTTTCAATTGGGGAGGAAGATGATGATCTCATGGATGTTGCCCTGAGAAGAAACTGAGCATTTCTAGCAAAGGTGGCAGTGGGATGGTGGTGTTTCATTTATTTTATTTTTCTGTTTTCTAAGTTTTGAGTATGCACGACACCCAAATGGGTTAAATTAAGGACAAATCTTCTGATTTGGACAATTTTCTTGATGGCTAGTGTAGATAAAAAAATTATTTAAATTCTAGGACATGGTATACTTACACACCAGCTTCCATCTAATAGCAACTTCTAGGTTTATACAACAGAACTGAAAATCAGATGTTAAACATTTGATGTGTTTTAGAAGAATCAGATTATTCTCTGAATGTTTTAGGAACATTTCCATTTTGCTGCATATTTTAACATTTTTAGAATTTAAAGTTTAATTTCAGTTGCATTTTATTATTCATACTTGGAGTATTTCCACTATAAAAATAAGTGGAATTGATTCAGTGCCTGATTATCTCCCCACTTTCCTAAGGTTCTCACTACCATTTCTTGTTGAATACAAATGCGAGATAAAAAGCTAGCACCATTTTGAGACCCTCATCAAAACTGTCAAGCATCTTGACATAAACATGTTGTACCTTTCTAGTTATTTGACTACATCTTTAAAATGTTCTTTTTTCATACCTACAAAAACTGCTTCATTTTACATTTCTCCTGTGTTATAAGTGAGTTGTAAAGAAAGATGAGAATTTGATCAGAGAAATGTGGACTTCTCATACCTGTACTTTTATTTAATACAAGTGAGGAATCCACACTGGAGATGAGGAGCCTAATATGGGCAGGTCCCCCTCCCCCTTTTTAGAGGTTAAGAGAAATGTTTTGCAACTTTCCCTATAGCCAAGTGGTATGTTGAATTTACATCCCTCATTTGAATTTATTTTGTTTATTTGTATGTTCTTGCTTATGAGCCAAGACTGTGTAAACTTCCAAATAATGCAAATGGACCTCTTTTTGACAGCAGATCCCTTATGTTCTTTCACAATTTCACATGGTACATTATTCTCATATTCCAAAGAATGGGGCAACATTTCACGATACCAAGCTCTATACAGTATAAGTATCAGAGTAGCTATCTAGACTTGGACATATCAGCGGCCTCAGGACTGAGTGAAAATTAACCGTATAACCCAGAGGATGTTATAACTTAAATTGTGCAACTGTCCAACAATGGATTCTCAACCTGAGAAGTCACGCCATGTCTTCAAAACCAGCAACCTGCTTTAATCTGGTTCTCTCTAGATGTATTGGATTACCATTATTACCAGCCAGCACTATATTGGCCTGGGTTGTCCAAAATAACTGGTGGGAAACAGCTTGAGGAGGGCTGTTGTAATATATCAAGGACATAGAAATGCTCAAACTGGCATTTCCCTGACTTGTGTTCCAGCTCCCAATGTTTCCAGGATACTGGAATGCATATATTCAGACCAAATGACTTTTTCTTTGATTGCAAAAGACTGGCTGGGGATTGTTTGCAAGGCTTATGATTTTTAAAGTAACATATCTTACAAATGTAGCCACATCATGAGATGTGATTGTGGCTCTGTCCAAAGCACAGCAGTTGGTTGTCATAAGTGCCATAGTATTCTTTTCATTAGGGAGGAAATGGGGTTCTGAGCAACTTATTAAGCAGTTCTCAAAATATGTCTTTACTGTTCAAGAGCCTTGGAAAAGTTTCTTGTATCAGCGACATCTTCATAATGAATATTTTTGAGTTTTTGGTATCCTGTCTAATTTCCATGTAATTGCTGCAAGTGTTTGCAGGAACGAATGCTGTGGACAGCAGTAAAATACACTTGCTTTTTTATGTACTGATGGTGCCTAGCAGACTTCAGTATTAAAAAAGTGATTGGTTCCTGAACCATGGCCTCATTAAGATTTTTGAGAATGATTAGATTTTAGCCCCAAGGTGAAATATTTCTTTGTTACACTTTTCAGTTGACAGTTATCTTAATTTAACTGCAGATTCTTTGGGTTATACAGAAAGGTTCTTTAGAATAAAAAACTAAACTTGATTTAAAAACCATATGTGCAACACTAATTTGCAAATGGATTCCCATAGGAATATAGCATCTTTGTCCTTGCACACCAGCATGTTGTGCCAGCACATTATGGAGAATGGAGTATGTCTGTACAGGCATTGCTTTCTTGTACGTGTTGAGTATCTAGTTACATGGCATGGGAGAACAGATCATCATTGTGTCCTATGGGATGCCTCTGTGCATTTATTGATAGAGACAGATGACTTCAATGTAGTTCTACAACCTGAGACCCTACTGGGAAGTGAAAAATATTTTTGAAATATGTCTATCATATAAGCATGGTATGAATTAATAAATTTTCTAGCAAGACTGATGTTCTCTACCCCATCATCAAGAATGGGGTGAAAGAGTCAGTAATTCAGTTAAATTGCATTGGTTAGTGTCAGTATCACACAGATGTTCTGTTTTAAAATATATTTATGTGTAAATGTGCATTTAATTTTTCACCATATTTTACAACCTTCAGTATTGGAAAAATGAAGTAAACAATAGAAAATGTGGAGGAGCCAAACCTTTTAATCTCAGATGGAGCCGCTTATAGATTAAGAAGTTATTTTTTTTCCTGTAAATAGTGTGGACTTTTGTGAACAGTTCTGTAAATATTGCTTCTGGCGGGCAAAGGGAGGAGTGTAATATATTATTAGCTTTTTGAAAGTATTACAAATATATGATGATTTTACCAGCAAATAAATTTGTTTGTTAAAAATGTCTTGTCTCACATTGATTAATGCACTGAAAATTGAGGAGGAAGTTCTGATTGTAAGGCAAGTACTGCAATAGGCAAAACCTGTGCACATAATTACACTGCTATAAACCCAATCCAGGCATTGGAAATAATTTAAATGAATTGAAATGTTTCTATTCCCCACCTCAACCCCGTTCAACCCTAGGGTTCTCCTTTGTTCTGGGAAAAACCTTTGGAGCTTCCATACACTGGTGGTGGGGAGCTTTTATTACTAAAAAATCACTGTCAGTTGGATGAGGACCACTAGTGGCAGTCCAGCAGCAAGTCTTTACTATTACAGTCTCTCCCTCTTGGTCCGAAGGCTTACACTGTCATAACTAAGCAAACAGGATTTTGTCCATTGACTTTTGTTGATGTAATACTAGCTGTGGGTAGATGCTGAGTAGTAGTAGTAGTAGTAGTAGTAGTAGTAGTAGTAGTAGTATCTTTTCAAGGGAAATTTAATGTACAATACAAGAGAGCGAGTTTCTGTCTGAAGTATGACAAGATTATGGCTTCATACATATTTACCCTGTTTTTAGAGTATCAGAGTCTGGAGGTCACTTTAGATGGAATGTGGTTTTAACCACACCTCCGTGGTGTTCCAGCTGCTGTATTAATTAATCATTGCCTTTTTTGTTTTCATTTCTAGAACACTCACTAGGTGTTCATGCTCTATTTGTTCCTGACAACTTGCACTACTGGTTGAAATTGCTGGACTATAGACTGCAGTAAGATGGAGATAAATATCGCATGAACACCTATTCATTATTTTTGAACAGTTGGCATAAGTTCTGTAAGACATGAGTACAGTCTTGGGGATACAGTACTTGCTTATCATTGTGTTCCATTGCAATGCATAACCACTAGGAAGTATTATGTAAGTTGTATTCTCTGTTTATTTGGGACAAAGTGGGATCCAAGACCCCTTGCTAGTGCTGCAGTTGAATTGAACTGAATACCTAACTTGGAGCTTTCCTCCGAACATCTCCGTCCATGCTTCAATTTCTCTCAGTGTATAAATGAGGGACAAAGATATTCTGAAACCCCCTAGCCCTACCTCATCTTCAAATCATATCTTCTGTAGCCTTCTAAAAGTTGCAGCTAAGGGAGGTTTCAGAGAGTGCCCTATCTGGCACCTTAAATTCTACCGATTCTCAGCAGCCAAGCCCATGTGTAAAGTGTTCTTATGATACATTTTTAAAAATATCTTTATCTAATAGCTTTTTCTGCCTTTCAGATTATGTATTGATAAAACTAGTGTTATATTAACTACAGATGATGTTAGTAATTCTTTTCAAAGAGAGAAAGTAAATAGGGGCCTTGGCATATTGAAAAATATGTACCCTCTCCTACAGTAAAAGAAGCTTGCTAATCTATTCCTAGTAAAGTAGAAGACAGAAGAAGCAGGTCTAAATGAGGCCTACAAAGTGTTCTAAATAAGGCAAAGTGTAATAAATTGTGTGGACTATATGAAAGATTGCCTCAAGGAAAAGTAATTGATGGCAAAATGCTTCATAAGTCCCAGAAGCCCAGAATATATTAAAGTAATGCAAATGTATTAATAGTATATGTAAAAAAAATGCTAGGATGTTAGAATGAGGTCATAGCTTGTAGAGGATACAATCATAGCTTGTTTAAGGATACAATACTGTAAATCATTTCCAGTTTATGGTGAATCCGGGTTTTCTTGGTATCAAATATTAAGTGATTTATCAGTGCTTCCTTCTGGTGGGTCAGTGGAACCATACAGTTCGTCCCTAAACTGGATGCTCCAAATAATCAAAGCTGGTCTCTTGCCCAGGAGACCCACCAAGAGATTCAAACTCCTGGACTCAACTTCCACAGCCAAGCACTTCAATCCACTGAACTGTACCAGCACTCGGGAATACACAATGAACATTATACCTCCCCTTTTAGCCAAATTGTACCTATTGTCTAAAAACCCAAAGGTCAAAGCTCTGTCACAAAAGAGAGCTGACAGGTATGTTTTCCTCTCCCAACCTACATGAGTATACCAGCAATGCTCCTGTGAAAATGAAGTGTATGGGGATTTTTTTCTCTCTGCTGTGTTATAAGACTGAAAATCGAATCAATGTAGAAGAAATTGGTATGTGGAGAAATAAATGGGAATGTTTTCCAAAACGTATTTTCTGAAGTCCACAGAAACTAATTGACGGAGAAATTGTGTGTTTCTTCCCCCTCCAAAAAAAAAAACTTAAATATTTTTAAAAGATCAAAGTCAGTTTATACTTTTCTTACGCTTTTTAGTGTGTGATTACGGCGATCTGTATAACTGGTCGCACTGACAGATCAATTAACGCTTAATTTCTCCGCCAGAAAAATATCAGAACCCGTCTCTCCGAGAACGCCACGCTGATTGGGCGAAGGAGTTACCAAGCGGAAGTTTGAAAGGAAATCGGAGGATACAAGCTTCTTCCGGTGGTGTCCTAGAGAGGAGCGCTAGGGAGGCAAAGAATGGGAGGGAGAGCCGACTTGGGGTGCTGTGCCAGAATTGGGGGAAGCCTTTATATCCTGTAAACTTGGTTTTTCTTTCGAAGTCAAAAATCGGAGAGATCAGTTACTGTGGCATCAGTTTAGGTGTAAAAGATGACGAGAAAATCGTGAGGGGAATTAAGCTGTGTGGATACACTACCTCTCCATTCCTTATCGCCACCAATGTTAATGTGCTGTGTTAAGATTCGTCATGATTCAGCCAAAAGGTTCCTTCACTACGATTGTGTTTGCTAGGGATCTGTCGTATGGCTGAGTCCAAGTAACTCATAGATTTCCCCCACCTCCTCTTTCTTTTTAAATTACTTGGTCCATCGTTACGGAGACTAAGAAACATCTTACTGTATTTCCATGCTTGGAGGGAGAATCAAGTTCACAGCTTCCATCTAACAACATAGAATGGCTGTGGGATAGTTGTACTCTAGCTTCATACAATGTGTGTATTTTTGCTGATTCACCATAAGAGCTCAAAGGGAGTTAAAATTATAGTGCAGTCTTAAGACATATCTCCTCAGAAAGCAGTTCCACTGAAGCTGGGGATGGTGGTATTTCCAAATACCTGTAATTGTACAGTATATAGGAGTCAGCACAAAAGTTTCTTTCCTACAGACAAAATGCATCTTATGAGAAGGATATTACACAGATGACATAAAATGGTATTCTAGTTCCTGTATTGGTTGGATACAATGATCCTTGGGGCCCCTTCCAGCTCTATGATTCTACTGACATCTACAAAACACACCAGTATCTGAGTCTGCACTGCCAGAGAGTCTAAATAGTTTATGATTCCAGTCACCTACCTAACCCAATGAAGAGTGTCTGTACAGTACTTTTTTCCCCTTTTGTATAATTTAGCTTGAGGAAGAATTCTGGAAAACTCACACAATTTCACAATTTTGTGGCATTTTGGTTCTTTTTAAGGAAAATGTTCAACTCTGGATCCCCCCCCCCATGGACTAACATTGTTACCTTCCTTTGAAAGAAATAAAATATGATTAATGCCAGAGTTTAGTTTGTTAGCTAAAGAATTTATTTTCCAGATTAGATAAATAAAACAAATACACTTGTAATCAAGTCTTGGTATCTAAAACTAAATTTGCAAACACTTGCAAATCCTGCCTTTTTAATCATACAGTACATGGAAATGGCAGCCCTAATGATAATGAAAGCAGTGTCTTGTACTTATCTGGGAATCATTTACTTTATGTGTGCCAACAGATGTGGTTATTTCCAAGAGAAACAGTCAAAACAAAAATTTAATGAAATCCAAATAACAGGTTTGTATAAACATTATATTCTGTCCCATACAGACATGATCAATTAAATTTGAAGCCCACACCCATAGTAGCAGTAAGCTTCTGGCAACAATATTACTTGAAATTTGTAGTTGTCATCAGTAGTAAAAAAGTAACAAGTAAAATAATTTTGCTCAATAACAATAGTAAGTACACTATATAAAAGGTATGCTGCATTTATGTTCATGATCTCTGATCTGTTCCTTTAAGGTAGTTGTATTATATTGTACAGATGATATATGATATATTATATTGTACAGATGAGCAGACTAACATCATCCTACTGTGTCCTGACAGCTTAGCATTTGCAACTTAAGTTACTCTATCAGCTCTCAACTGCCAAGAGTACATTATTAAGTTTGGATTATACCCTAATGCTGTCTAGATTTATGCAGTTGGAGAAATCTATAAGAATTTGAGCCCGGACCCTGATGGCTAGTTTTTCACTCACTGCACTATAGTGTACTTGATGTATTACCTATAGGAGACAACAAAATCTAGATAAGGATCCTATCTAACTTTTTAATACAATTTATATACTAATTTTATATAATACTTAAAGAATAAGTAATTTTTATTCTATATACTTTTTTGCATTGGCCATTTTATTCTAGTGGGTGGGATAAAAATTTAAATGAAAAATAAAAAACTTGAAAGTTTGCATCCTTTCTTCTTGGATAACGGTCTGAAAGCATGGTAGATGGGGCTTCTCAACCGAAAGACAGGAGGCCCTTCCTAATCAGAGGTAAGCCAGGGCTATCTTTAATAGTTCAGCTACTACTAAGCAGTGAGTGAAAGGCTGAGATCAGTCCGTTTGTTTAATAGCTTATTAAGCAGAGATGAAGACTGCTATCCTACACCACTTTGCAGCAAGTCGTCCCTGCCCCACTGAAACGTCCGTAAGTGCTCAAAGGAGACGAAATGCCCCCGAGGGCGCATTACCAGGAGGTCCAAGCACCCCTGCACTCCACGGGATGGGAAAGGCGTCTAGGATCAGCCCGCGGTGGCCCCTGCGTTGACCTGCGCCGAGACCCACCGCGGGATGGTAGCGGTTGGGAGGCGGCTGTAAGCTTGCGTGCGTGCAGCCGCAGCGACGGGAGTAAAAATACAACCCCCCCCCTTCGCCCCGCCGCCGCCGCCTCCGAGCAGGGAGGAAGGCGCGCGCGCGGGCTCGGGGGCGCGCGCCCGCCTCTGCTCTCCCCTCCCTCCCACTTCGATCTGCGCCGCCCTCATCCAATGAGCGGCCCTGTTGCTGGCAGGTGCGGAGTGTTTTTGTTTTGGGTTGAAGAAGAAGAAGAAGTAGTAGTAGTTGTTGAGGAGGAAGGCCAGACTTTCTTTCCCCCCCCCTCTTTTTCCCACTCGGAACCTGGCGAGTAGGGGGAGGGGGCTCCAGCTGACCCACCGAAAGGCACCCCACGCCACCGAGCTTCAAGCGCCCCACCCCGACCCCTCCAGCCAGCTACCCTCTTCCCTCCGCTGTCTAGGGCGGGCGACCGCCTCACTCGTCTTCTCCCAGCCCGGCTCCACCTCTCTTGCTCGGTCTTCTCCCCACCCGGTGCCCGAGGCGAAAAGGGAGGACGCCGGGCCAAGCAGGCGACTGAAGCCGCAGCTGCTGAGGAGGTGGGGGGGCCAGGCCCGGTTCGGCCTGGCCCGGCTTCGCTCGGCCTGGCCTGGTCTCACCCGAGCCAACCCCTGCCGGGCCTCCAGCATGAGGAGGGAAATGAACGGGGTCACCAAGAGCCGGTTTGAGGTGAGCAGACCATTCGTCGGGTGCCTGGCCTTCGGGGAAACCTTTACCCCCATTTGGGGGAGGGGAAAGCCTTTTTGCATTGTAGCGGGGTCAGCCTAAATTGTGAAAGGGAAGACTAGATTTCGTTGAAGGGGAAATTTTCTTCCTTCTTTTTCCCGATCTGCGAGATGAGGAAGGGTTGTGGTATGTGTGTCTGTCTTGAATGAGTCGGTGTTGGGGGAGACATGTAGATGAGGTTGAAGAAAATTCGTTACCCTCCTTCACTACACACAAAACGACTGTCGACTGGGGGAGAGGGAGGAGAAGGGCGTGTTTTTCCCCCTAAATTCCAAAATCGATGAATTTAATGAAGTGTTCAGAAGGTGTTGGTCACATACGCATCTTGAAGCAGATGTTGTTGTTTTCTCAGTGAATAGGAGAGCTTTCCTTTGCAGGACCCACCTTCTCTTGCAAAAACATTAACAGAAGGCTCAAACAAAAACCTGAAGCGCTGTCATCCTTTTGACATCCTAGTGAACTGTTTGTGGCATAAAGAGTGGGATAAAGAGTCAAATTATCTGAGTGTACCTGTATGCCTTGCATGGGAATACTGTCCTCCGTTGTGAGTCAAGGTGTAGAGGTTTAGACAGAGGAAGTGACTTTTTCTCACAGATTATAATTTAGGAAAATATATGCCAAATAAAATTTGTTAGTCTTAAAAATGGCACAAAATTATTTATTGGAGCAAACTAACAGGGATACACCCCCCCTTCTGTATATCACACTGGAGGGGAGGAGATGAAAAGGAATTAGGAGGCTGTGTGCCTCGTACTGAGGCCTTAGCAGATACAGAGCTGTAAGGGGGAACATTGGTTTGGACTGAGTTTTGTATGTCTTTCTTGCCCTTCCCCAGCTAGATTGGGTTGGGTGAGCTAGCCAAAGGAGGCTGGTCTTTAAATGAGGAGGAGCCTGAACACTTACTGTGAGTGCGCCTGTCTCTGTGGGTGAGGGTAATGAGAGAAGTGGGAGGTGCTTAGGAGTACCAGTGGAAGTCTTGTGTCATGTTGGAGACAAATCTTAATGCTGCTGATGTGGCCAGGCTTTGTTTTGTTTAGTGCTGTTTTTATATAGCTACTAACAGTTTTCATTCATTGGTAGAGATAGTTGAAAAGGCCTAATGAAGCTAGCTCTCCTAGTCTGTCATGGGTTGAGGGGAAGGGAAAAGGAAGGAGGCAGCGACACATTCAGAGAATAATGTACGGATTGTATGTTTTGTTAGGAAAAAAAGGATAGTACTTTTGGATAAATAGTTCATATGTCTTTATGCATTAAGAAAATGATATAAGATTCCAGATTTTAAGTAAAATGCTTAATTAAATATAGGTATACAGAGATTTTTGAGCACTTGGAATTCATAGAATTCTTTGTTTATGAAAGCAGTGGGATTTGTTGGAAAGACATTCAAAGACAAGGGCTCTACAAGTGCTTATCATGATTAGATTGTCACAACTGTGTGCCAGGCATGACCAATGGTAGTGGTGAGAGTTCTGTATATGAGCACATGCATGTGGCCTCTATACTGATTTTAGAGTAAGTGGTCTATTAACTTTGCTTAGTTTATTTTAAATAAGTGAATCTTCTTTAAGGGTTTCATAGAACTTGTAGGTATGGGCATCTGTTTTCAGTGTGTGGTGACTATGCCTGTAGACATGATGCAAGGCTAATGGTTTATTTTCTTTTTAAAAAGGAAATGAAATGGCCAGTATTTTGTGTTTAACTTCCGGATGGTCAAAAGTGGTACAGTCCAGTATTACTGTTGCTTTCTTACTCTGACACTAAAAAGCGGGGGCAGATTGTACTTTGGTAAGTCTGAAGGATAGATATGCTGAAATGAGTGCAAGCAAGCAAAGAGTAAACAATGAACTATTCAGTAAAATATAACACGTAATCAGCTTGATCTGGTACCACACAAAAGCACCCTATCAAGGCAGGTTTTTTTTCCAGTTCTTTGTTTTAACAGCTGTCCCTCCCCCTCATTGAGTGTGTTGGGTGTGGGGGGAATGGATGACACATAAAAGAGTGATGGGATAGTTCACATCTTTTCATTTTATGGGAATTTCATGTTTTAGGAAAATCAACTGTCCATATGTAACCTCTCAAAAATAACTTGAATATGGGGAAATAATACAATACCTCAGAACCCGTCATGGCTTTGAACCTAGTTGCTTCTGCACTCTGAAGTTCAGACAGGAAAAGTAAACTTATTTGAAGGAAAATCTTGGGTAACGTGTGTGGCATAATTCTGCAGAATGAAGAACAGCAACAACGTCATCCAGAAACTGGCTGGTGGGCTGAGACAGGTAGAAATCATGTTTTGATTTAATTGGTCTAATTTTTACAGTACTCACTCTTTGATGCAAAAAATCAGATTAAAGAAGTTATATTCACTAGATGAATTTTCCCATAGGTGAAATAGTATAATAAAATACCAGTTAATACAAAGTCCAGTTAAAAGAGCTTAATTAGTTTCAGCTACCAGAGAATATAGGTAGCAATAACGATATTTAATTATTTTGTTCAGTTTAGTACAGTACAATTTTTCATGATGCTGAATGCAAATTTGCGCTCAAGATCCCACAAGAAAATTCTTTTGATTTGACTGTAGTTTTTGTTTTTAATTTTGAAGTAAGTTGTATGTATGTAAGTTGACAAAAGGAGGATATTTGCAAGTCTTCTTATGAAAAGTTTCTATAGGTACTGGTAGATTGTGACATTGGAAGTAGTGACCGAGGGGGCATTGGGAAGTTAATGGGCAAAATCCTATTGATGTAATGCTGGTGCAAACTGAATCTGGCACCAGAAGTGATTTATATAAACTAATTGAAAACTTCCTATCACCCCAATTTCAGGCTCCAGGTTCCTCGGGGCTCTTTTTGTCCTGGGGAAGCCTTTGGGAGCATCAGGATAAGAGGCAGGGAGCCATTCATAGTGAAACTAATAATAGGTCAGTGCCAGATAGCTGCTGTGGTTCCAATCCCAGTGGTGGTGATCCCAGGGTAATAGAGAGCCCTAGGGAGCCTCAGAAGCTGAAACAGAGATAGGAAACTTAATAAGTTTAAATTAAATGTTGCCAGTGGATTTTGCTGATGCTATTCAGTTGTGTGTGCAGTTTGCTTGATTTGCTCTGGTTTCATGATTTTAGAAGACTGAAATCGTAGAAACGGCAAAAAAATTAAATCAGAGTGGTTTTGCTGCATTAATTTCTGTTAGTGAAAGAGTATTTTACTCTTTGAGCTATTGTACATCAAAGAGAACAAATACAAAGGAAAGGTGTCAAATTTCTGGCCTGAATACAGAAAGAAACTAATTATTAAAGCAGATAATACGTATTTTTTCCCATGGAAAAGTTTTTTACTTTTATAAATTCACTGCCTTGTAAAATTTGTCAAACATTTTAGTTAGCCAATTTTCACTATCAAACCAAAGAAGTTTAGCTACCCAGATAATACACAAGCTATACTATTTGCTTACTAAATGTAAGTCAAAGAAACATGCTTAACTAGGTTTAAGTTGACGTAGAACAGTAGGAAATATTCTGATTCAGAATTTTCAAGAAAACACAGGCATGAAGTACTCAGCAAGTACTTCAAATAAATTCATGCGGACTACATTGACTAGAAAGAAGTTGTACACAGTCGTAATGGCCAGAAATCGCTGTTTCAATAAACACTGCTCCATTAAATGCTTTGTTAAATTAGAGCAGCAAGGCAGGCACAGGCATAAAGTATTTCCCTAACTTAGTCTGGTTCACTGATGCTTAGGGTATTCACATATGTGATACCAAGCCATGGTTAAATAATGTTGCAAAAAAAATGTAAGAACACTAATGGCTTTCAGTGCTCTAATGTTTCTCTAAAGATACCCTTTGTAGTATTTCATGGATTTAAATTTTTTTAAATATAGAAAAAAAATCCTATCTCAACAGGATTTGAATAGATCTCTTGACATGGAAGATGACATTTCCATCATCACATGGTAATGAAGCTGATGAGTTATAATGTCTTCTACATTTTCAGTTACAAGGTAATGATAGGGTTTCTCCTTCAAATTAATAGACTTTGAAGTATCTGTATCTATATTGATACTTGGATTTCTGTCACTAAATTTGTCCTATTCCTTAACCTTTGCACCTCTTTTGAGCAGTTTGATAAAATTAAGATTATGTGCTTGAGCGTCATGAAGTATTTAGGAATTATTACATGACTTTGATTTTTTTTAAGTTCCACCCAGAAATGTATAAGGTATGGCAGGTTCAAGTTTTTTTCCTTGGTCTATTTTCTATTTACGTATGTCCATTCTTACACCCCTAGTTATATATGTGAGATTGTTTTTTTTTTTTCATATTTTGCCAAATTTACACTTTATCAAACCCTGCAGGAAATAAACAGATATTTGTATGTTGCACTGGCCACAAGATGCTAATAGTTTTGCCTCTGCTTTATCTTTGCTAGAGATATTTAACATGGCAATATAATAGCAGGCATAAAGGCAAGTAAAATATGTAAAGAGTGGTTCTGTGGTAGTATGATGTGATGTTTTATTTATTTACATTGCTATGCTATATAGTGGCCTAGCCACAGATTTTACAACCAAAACAAATCAAATAAAGCCACGGTAAGGTTTTAAAATCTTAAGATGGTTAAAGCCTGCAGTAAAATTTAAATAGTAAAAATGAAAATGCAGGACTGAGTGCTTTCTGGAAAGGCACACCTTAGGTTTAAAGCCTAACTGTTGCAAATGAGAGCATTTGGCAGATCTCCCTTGGGAGGTCTATAAGTTGAATTAAAAATAAGGGTTGGACAATACCTATTTGGATCGTGAAAATGGCACCAAAAAAGCAAACCTTGGAGTTCTCAAGAACTCTTAAACAGGCTGAGAATTACAGAACTTAAACTGGTGGAGAAAAAGAAAAGTTGAAAAATAGTATTTTGTAGTATTTTAAAATACTCATTGTTGTGATG